AGAACTGCGGGAAAGTTCAATCGCGTTACTGTGCGACCTTGGGGGGTCAACACGCTGGTGTGGGCCTACTCCAAGGACAATACCAAGGCCTTCACCTACCACGGTGGTAACTGGTGAGCAGTGGTTACAGCAGCTGGGTGGTAACTGGTGAGCAGTAAGTGTTGAGTTCATAATGTGTTTTGGATTTTTCGTGGTTCAACTTTGCGTGACAACTCTTTGAGCTCCTCTATGGTAGATTGTTCGTGTGCACGTGCAGAATCTTTTGTGTGGGTGGGTGGGGGGGGGAGGGGGGAGGGGGGGTGTGCATGTGCATATATGCGCATGCATGTGTATGCATGCATGCACTCGTGCACGTATCTGTGTAGTGTGCATGCATGCCACTACATGCACTCTGCATTGTTCAGGTGTCCTAGACCCCCCTCACCTCCAGTATGTCTACGTACTGACCGAAAGAGACGCTCAAAACGCCCCTTGTACTCAGCAATTGCCATCCATCCAATCCATACGGCTCTTGATCACACTCCCCCACTCCGTGTGCTGCAGTGGGTGGCTTACTGTGGACTTCTCCTGCAAGGTTCCACCGTACAACCGAGGGCGGGGAGAAAACGAGGGCGGCGAGGAAGATCAGTACAGTCAAGGCTGATGGTGCAAGGTTTTTTGTGGAAGGCGTAAATCTAGGCTAAATATTCTGCATATTTTGTCCAGTCGCGTATCTTAGTGTTTCTGGAGAGTACAAAGTTGCACATACTGGGGGTGCTTAGGGCACATTGCTGTCACAAAAGGATTGAGACACAATACAGTCTATGCTGAATTTGGGTGCCACACAAGGATTGAGACACTTGTGTCTGCATGGTTTGTACCCTTATACCATGGTTTGTAACAATAATCCAGGAGTGTTCTGCATATGCAGACGGTGAGTAATGTGTACGGGACTAAATGTTTCATCTGCTGGAAACTAGTTTCGTAATCATTTAAGGTAGAGTAAAGCTGAAGAATGGAGAGCAGGCAAATAACAGCAAAAGACTTGCGATATGAGGCACTCGCAAGTAAAACTGGCAATACTGGTGTTGAAAAGGAGAAACTGATTTATCAGAAGTTTTGAAGGCCCCAATCACCATGTTTTGAAGACACATAATTGGCATGCGTGCACTCACAAGGGGTAGCCCGAAGTTTCATTTTCAACTGTCCAAAAACTCTTTACAACACAACCTTCAGCCTATGGCAAAGGACGTGGATGTGTCTTATTAACCTAACAAGACACTTAAAGAATGCACCCATTCCAGTGCTCCCAAAACAGCCAATTCACGCTAAAACAGGATGCTTGGGAAGAGGAAGAGCTAGCAGCTGGGACGATGGCAGAGTGAGGTTGAGGTAAAGGAGAGTGGGAGGGAGGTGAGCGCACATGCGTCATCCACCAAGGAGGCAGCTACTGCTGGGGGGATGGTTGCTCAGGGAAGGAGAGGCGCTTCATGTGCTTCTCATGGGGGTACTTGAGCTTAGTGGCCAGCCCTGCAGCCTCGAGCAGCTTGATGGTGTACCATGTCATGTCCACCTGGTGATCCTCCAGCCCATGCCGGCATGAGTACTGGAACGCGTGGTGGTTGTTGTGCCACCCCTCGCCAAACGCCAGTAGCCCCACCCACCTGTCGTGATTGCAACGGGAGGGACAGAATGGAAGGACGAGTGAGCCAACAGGACGTAGGGGGGAGAGCGAGCACTGTGACGTTTCCATGTGAACTGACTCCTTTGCTAACTCACTGCCAGGAGCATGTGCCATACAAGCTGGGAAACACAGCTCCGTCTAAGCCCTGCTGAATCTCATCCCCTCAGACCCAGCGTCTCTCGTCCTCACCAAGATTCAACTAGAACTACTAACAGGTGAAGTGCTTAAGGCGTGAGAACACTGTGCTGCTACAGTGTTTCTCACGCCTTGACCCACTGACTGACCGAGAAGGTACATAGGCCTCAGCTCACTGCCTCACCAACAACACAAATCTCCTCAGGCCATATAGAGTGTGGGGTGGGGGGAGGGAGTTGTAAGGGACTTTTTGAGGCCTACCAGTTGTTTCGCGAAAGGTCACCGGTGTTCCAGGATTGATAGCCCCACACGTGCGAGGCTGAGTTGACGAACCATGTGATGTGGTACACCCACACGGCGCGCACGCCCTGAGAGTGACAGACATGGACAGCACAAGGAGAACATACAGCGGTTATAACAAGGAATTTTGACCATTACTTGCCTTCAGAGACATTGTAAAAGGACTGAAGAGCACCCAAGGAAGAGAGGATGGATCAAAGTTGGAAAAATTCGACGGACGAGTCCAGCGAGCAAAGGATTGAAAGAGCACTTACGAAGCCCCAGACGACCCAGGGCAAGCCTCCGAGGGCGTAGAGCAGCAGCACGGACGCCACGATGTGCCACACGTAGGTGGCCTCAATAAAGTTGTAGAAGGGATCGTTGTCCATGTCCGCGATATTGTTGCGGACACCCACCTGTCGATTTCACGTGGTACAGTATGGTACAGTGCAGAGAAAAATGTTTTGAGTTGGTAAACAACAGACGGTTAGGTTCGTTCCTCATTCTTGAAATCCTGCTACGTTTAACGCCCACTTTCCGTTCCAGTCAACTGCTTCCAAGTCTTTGGTGCAATGTTACGCAAGAGCTACGCGACAGGGCACACTCGAGAGAATAATCTCACCCTTTCTTGCGTGGCGACGTCGTCGAGCAGCCACCCCATGTGGCTGTGCCAGAATCCCTCGTACGGCGTGTGCGGGTCGGCAGGCGTGTCGCAGAAGCGATGGTGATAGCGGTGCGCGCTCACCCACTCCTTGGGGTCGCCCTGCGGGACGCAACGCGAGACACAAACAGGACAGCGTTCGGACGCCGGACGAGGGACGGTAAGGAAGGTAATATGCGTGGAGATTGAAGGTTTCCCACATGCGCGTCACAGGAGAATGGATAAGAGAAACGCGAACACGACTGAGTGAAAAGGCCGAACAACGCGCGAAGACAAAGATCGGTGAGGAAAGAGTGAGCAGCGACGTCGTACCTGAACAGCTTGAACCCCGCAGTAAGCGAAGGTGTACTCGAGCCACTTAGGAAGCGTGAAAGAACGATGCGACAAGTTGCGGTGGTATGACAGGGTGATCCCAAACATTCCTGAATATTAATAAGAGGTAAGAGGATGGAACGAAATGCAAGGAACGTCAGCCTCAACGTTCGATTACAATCGATAGTCACGGTTGCGGAAAAATACAAAAGCGAAGAGAAAAAGTCTGCAAGCGAAGGAAAAACGCACCTGTGATCACGTAAAGGCCGACGAAGAGACCAAAGTTCTCCCAGGAGAAGGTAGCTGGAGCAAAGAGGCACAAGCCATGGACGAAGAGCATGTACACAGCGTAGCTGATGTCCTTGGCCGTGTACTCCCGGTTGAAGAAGTACGGCCGCTTCCGTTGTGCGATCACGTCCGAGAACCACACCTGCGCCGACTCAAACGGGGACGACTCTGACGCGGATGGCTTGGGAGGAGCCTCCACGGCGCACGAGATTTGTCGTCTTTGTGACTGCAGGCCGACGGTCGGAGCCGCAGTGGGTTTGAAGGATCGGATGAATGGAGTCGATAGGGCCGGCAATCTCGGGGAGGCTCGCAGTTTGGACGACGCGAGGGGTGCGAGGGCTCTGGCTCCGGCAGAAGCGCGAGCGGGAATTCTCTGGATCTCTGAACCTCGGGTTAGAAATACCCCTGACGGGAGGACGGCCGCCGAAGTGGTCGCCATGGTTCTGCCTTCTGTGTGGCTTATCGGGGAAGATTGGCCCGAATTCTGGAGGGCTTTCTGCAAAGATATGGTTTCAGAGAGCCCTACGAACTCAGATCCACACAGGAAGCAAGAACGATCAGCCTTGGACTGAACTCAGAATGAGCTGATCGTTGAAGATACCTCATGATAGTGGCGGAAGGAGTAAATGTAGGGGTTGGCTTGGCTCCCTCCCCTCCCCTGCTGTTGTGTGGGGTGGGATTGACGAGGTCACTGGGATGACGAGACGGGTTTGCGTGCCTCGGGGAGCTTCCCCCAAAACTGGGATTCCCTCCGAACCGAACCTGCGGATGAAACACGAGAATGCTCCGCAATCGCATCAGCGACATCTGGCCGTTCACTGTGTTGACGGAAACCGTCGATCACAGCGCAACTTTGCTGGCTCAGCGCGGACCGATGACGTTGTTGTGGGGTTGGTTTGTGGAATGTGAAAAATTGGTGGTCCAAATCCGTCAGATTTGACGTGGGTTGCGACATGGAGGGCTTGCTGGATTCACCAGTCAGAATGTAGGTCATGTGGCAAACCGCGATTCGGCAGTGCGAGCGGACTCTGCCTTGCTGTACAAAAAGGGCCTGGCTGGGAAGGATAGCAAGTGTACCTCTCCCACCACCACTACGAATCCGAGATATTTTGCTATAACCCGAGGCCAAAGAGTGTCTGATTTGTAAGGCCTGGATTAGGTCGATTTTCTCAGTCCAATAACAACACCACTTTCAGCGTGAGTCGGTCTTCCCAAATCAACATGAAGCCCCACTGTGCGGAGAAACGTACAGCAACACAACTCCCTGTCGCATCGCTTGCTCTACGATTGGCCAATCGATCATACGCAAACCTAGATCATACGCTTTTGAATGTATCACTGTATTCGTTTTACAGGTAATATCAGAATATTTCACGGTTAACCCATAAATGGACGATTTATATACTGGTGGTACAAAGAGGAACGTTCAAAAGAGGATGCTGGTTTGGCAGTCTCAAGGCCCGGCTCAGACGACCTCCCTTCGTCCCCCTAACCCCAAGCATCCAGGCCGCGATTATGGAGCATCATCCGAGCCCAGCTGCGATACCGAAGCAAGGGAGCAGGCTCACCTCCCATCGTCCAGTTTCCCAACCACGGCCGGGAAGTCACTCTGGTGCACCAACACTGTCGGATAACAACTTGAGCTCTTTCGCAAGTGACGTTATGGCGGTTCGGATATTCCGTCTCTCTGACTCATTGGCAGGCCTGTAAAAGTCGTAATTAACGCTTTCCATTTCTTTTTCGTTAGGGCTCAAAGCGTTGAGTACACTGTTGTTCCAAAGTTATTCACATCCTTGTACCAGGGAAGGAAATTCCGAAGCTTCTCCGCGAATCACGCCATGCCTGCACCGCTTGTGGCTCGGAAAGCTGCTCAACAAACAGGAAAGCCCGGCGGGCGAAGTTCGGAGAAACACCGAGGCGACGCGAGCCCGCCAGCGTCGGCGCAAGGCTCGGGGTTTAAGAAGAAAGTTGGAGGTTTGGAGCAGTCGCATTCAGGCAAGCACGTCCCAGCCAATGGCAGGAAGCCATCTGGACACGAAGCCAAGGCCGGGAGCTCATCAGCACCTCGTAATAGCTACATTCGAGACACCGATTCGCTCGAAAAGGCCGTTCCCAGTCACAGCCACCGTTACAGTCACGACGGCGTGAGCGATTTTTCGCAGACTCGCGTGAGGTCCGGCATCGACGCGCTGTACGCGGGAGGCGAGGGCCTCCCCCGGCGCATCAACTTCCTCCCCGCGCGCCACCCCGACGCGCACTCCGCGCTCCCGGTGGGCCTTAAACCGCTGAATGCGGCCGATCCGAGCCGCGAGCCACGTGGCAGGCAGCCAGTGGTCGGATCGGAGGGCGACGACAGGGGGAAGGCGAAGGAGGGGAAGAGAAAGGGAGAGAAGGAGCGGCGCGAGTCGAGTGAGAGGGAGCGGGACGGACTGGAGGGGCGGCTGGATCGCTCTGACGTGGCGTTGGAATGGCGGCAAATACGGCCCATTGTAAGTCGCACATGCGTGCAGCTTCCGGCTCTCTAGGACAAGCGCGCCAATGCAGCCCGTTCGTGCCACTGTACGCGTTATATACTGCTCCGTGAAACCAATTACACCCGGTCTCGCATCAAGCAAGCAGTTCGTTATTGCAGGATTGGACGATACATATGCAACCCTGTCCCCACCACCCACGAAACCCTAACCCCGCTAAGCACATCCGTACACGCACCCTGCGCGCTGCTGCATAAAGTGCAGCTATCGGATGGGTTTTGAGAAAAGAAAAAGAAGTTAAAAAATCCTGAGTGTGTACGACTGTGCGTGTGTGGTGTGGTGTGGTGTGGTGTGTGGCAGGGAGCGGGGTTGAGCAACCTGGGCAACACATGTTTCATGAACTCCGTCCTGCAGTGCCTCACGTACACGCCGCCCCTCGCCAACTACCTCTCGCAGTCACCCCACTCCTCTACCTGTGAGTGCTCCCCATGGACTGACCTTTCCCGTGCTCATTCATTGTACAATTGCTTGTTCTGCAAGCAAGCCCTTGCATGTACTCCATTCCTTGTCAACTTGATTGACAGCTGCTGCTGCTGCTGCCAGACAGGCAGTTTCTGACAGACTGTTGCAACCTTTTGTCTGTCCCATGCGCGGCAGGCAGGGTGGCGGGGTGGTGTGCGCTATGTGAGATGGAGTCGCATGTGCCGAGGGCAGTGGGCGGAACGGGCAAGGTCGTCTCGCCTACAGGCTTCGTGCGCAACGTCAAGAGTACGTCCTTCCACACCCCCACTCTCTTGCTCTCGCTATCCTTCCCTCTCCCTCTCTCGCACTCACTCACACACAAGTGCACGCACCCGAGTTTCCTTTCTCCCCTTCACCTCCCCTTCTCCGCTTTATATCCCTTCTCCCTCTCATCTCCCCTCTCTCCCTCCCCCCATCTCTCTCATCTCCCCTCTCTCCCTCCCCCCATCTCTCTCATCTCCCTCCTCATCTCCCATGTCCCCCACACCCCCTTGCATCTCACCCCCCATCCACACAGGTGTGGCGAGGTCATTCAAGGCGGGCAGGCAGGAGGACGCACACGAGTACATGCGCTGCCTGCTAGACGCCCTCCACCGATGCTGCCTCCCGCCCAAACGAGCCTCCGCCTCAGGCTCGGCCGCTGACCCTGCCTTTGCGCCGAGGCTAATGAACACGTTCGTGCACCGAACGTTCGGGGGGTATCTGTGCAGCCAGGTGCAGTGCACCGTGTGTGGGTACTGTTCCCGAACCTACGACCCGTTCCTGGACCTTAGCCTCGAGATTGTCCGAGCCGACTCGGTGACCAAGGCTCTGCATCGATTCACATCAGAAGAGGCTTTGGATGGGGCGAACAAGTACAAGTGCAGGTGAGAGCGGGGAAGCACTAGTTTAGGTGAGGGGGCTGAGTTTGAAATGCTTGCTCTTATCATGCTCACCTCTTTTCCATTTCCTCCCATCCCAACCCTCTCACGTGCACAGCAAGTGCAGGAAGAAGGTGCGGGCGCTGAAGAGCTTTGCAGTGGAAGAAGCACCTCCCGTTCTGACTGTTCACCTGAAGCGCTTCGCTGCACTCACAGGTCGCAAGCTGGACAAGCACGTGGCCTTCCCGCCCTCCCTCGACCTCTCGCCCTTCATGACCTCCTCCCGCCCCTCCACAAGCAGCTGCGGCGGCAGCAGCAGGGAGGGTGGAGGTGGAGTTGGGGCTGGGGGTGGGGGTGGGGGTGGGGGTGGGGATAGTAGGGGCGGAAAGTACAGTCTGTATGGGGTGTTGGTGCATGCGGGTTGGTCCACCAACTCGGGGCACTACTACTGCTACGTGCGTGGGCCGTCAGGCACGTGGAGTGCCATGGATGATGCGCGGGTGCAGCAGGTGAGCGAGAAGACTGTGCTGCAGCAGCGCGCCTACCTCCTCTTCTACGTCCGCCAAACCCCCCCGCCTGCTGCTGCTGCTGCTGCTGCTGCTGCTGCTGGTGCTGCTGCTGCTGGTGCTGCTGGTGCTGCTGCTGGTGCTGCTGGTGCTGCTGCTGGTGCTGCTGCTGCTGGTGCTGCTGCTGTTTCACCTTCTGCTACTGCTCGTGGTGCCCAAACCTCTGCAGCTATGGCGCCTGCTGCAGCGGCTGGTGGTGAAGCGGATTTGAAAAAGAAAGGCAAGGCAGCAGCACCGCATGTAGAGGCGTTCATGCACGTGCACGCACAGGGTGAGGCGCAGGAAAAGGAACAGGCAGAGGCACAAGGAGTAACACAGGAGCGGTTGCAGGAAAGTGCAGGCAGAAAAGCGAGCAAGGACAGGGTGGGAGCAGCAGTGGGCGAGGGTACAAACCTGGGCAGCAGCGTTGCACGCAAGACCAAGGAGAGGGCCGGTGTGAAAGGTGAAGGGAGCGGGGCAGTGACGATGGATGTGAGCGGGTGGCAAGGGGCGGTGGAGGCTTTGGTAGAAGGGGGGAAGTGGGAAGAGAGGGAGGGGCAGGCTGTGTTGGCAGAGGCGTCAAGTGACGAGGAGAGCAGCGAGGAAGGGGGGGAGCAAGGGGAGGAAGGCGGGGAGGTGGACGGGGAGGGAGGGGCGGTTGGGCAAGCAGCAGGTAGTGATAGTGATGATGACAGTGACGACCCAGACTGGACGTTAGGAGATGAGGACGAACAGGATGCAGAGGTGGAGGAGGGAGGCAAGGATGATGCGGGGCGTGTGAGGGGGTCGTGGGCGGCAGCTGTGGGGCAGATGCTACGGCTGCTGCCTAGCTCCACCCGGGAGTCGAGAGGAAGCCTCAGGAGCCGCAGCAGCCCTGGCAGGTCGGGAGGGGGAAGTTTCGGCAGCAGCGGGTGGGGCAGGAGCAGCGGCAGCGTGGGCAGCATTGTGGGCAGCAGCAGGGAGAGAATGCTGAGGCTCATGTCTCCGCTCGTGGCGCTGCCTTTTTATGGGGCAAGGGGCGAGCCTGGGCGTGTGATCAGGGAGAAGGGACGGCGCGAGGAGGAGGTTTTTCCGTTGGGAGGGCGCCGGGGAAGGAAGAGGAGGAGAGCGGGTATGGAGGGGTGGGGCCGTGGTGTGGGCTGGGAGGGGAGTGGAGGGATGGCGGTGGGAGTGGAAGAGGAGGGAGAAGGGGTGAGGAAGGAAAGGGAGAGAGGAGGGATGGGGGTGCAGGAGGAGGGGGAGAGAAGGAGAGTGAGGGGAGAGGAGGCGAGGGTGGTGGAGGGAGGAGAGGGGAAGGAGGAGGTGGGAAGACGGCAACTAGAGGGGGGTGCTCCAGTAATGATGGCTGGGATAGGATTGGAGGAGGGGGAGGTGGATTCAGAGGAGGAGGAGGAAGGGGAGGCGATGATGATGGCAGGGCCGGGGGTAGTGGTCCGGCGGGTGGGGTCCTCAGACGATGACTCTGAAGGGTGGAGCAGTGCGAGTGAGAGCGAGGACGAGGGCACGGGGGAGAAAGGAGAAGAATCGGACGAGGGAGAACAGGAGGAGGAGGAGAGCAAGGGAGGGAACGGCCAGGGGAATGGGCAGGGGAACGGACAGGGGAACGGTGGTGGCAGCGGGAGCAGGGTGGTGACGTATGGCGGGTCGGATGCGGTGTGGATGATGAGGGAGGGCGCACAGGAGGCGAATGTTGGGGCAGGCGGGCTGGCGTGCTCTCAATGGGGTGACGATGGTGAGTGTTAATAGCCTGTGCCGGCATGCTAGCGGTGTGAGCCTGAGCATGATCTGAGCAACTGGTGGAGTTCACTGGTGGAGTTCACTGGTGGAGTTCACTGGTGGAGTGGAGTGGGGTTAGCCTGTGACATCATGTCACGCATACGGGTATGGGTGTGTGTGGTGAATTTGATAAGGTTGAGTGGCGCACAGCATGGGAGGGCAAGAGGAGGTGATGTGGGTAGTGGGTGGACTTGCCGGGTCAGTCAGGCACAGTGACGTGCAGTGAGAGGCGAGGAAGTAAGGAGGGGCGTCTCACCTGCGGCCGAGCCTCCTGTGTGTTCTTCCTGCGACTGAGCCTCCCTCGTCTGCTGTGTTTTTAAGGCCTGCCTTCCCCACGTTTGTGCCATGCCCCTGGTTCTTGTCTCTGCCCTATCTGACCATGTGTGTGGAGATGCAGAAGGCATGGCGATGAATGGCGCCCACCTTCATGTGGCTGAGAGGCGACCCACCAGCAAGTACCGATATGATGAGTGGTGAGTGCAGCAATCTCTGCGCCGCCATATTGCCATCCCAGCATCAATGGCGCAGTTGCATCCCTTCACTTGCTTCTCTCCCATATCTACGTCAATAGGCTCCCCCTTCCTGCTCCCCCTTCCACCCAAGCCCGTCCCCACCCTCATCCGCACCCCTCTCTCTGCCATGCGTGGGGCAGGGACGAGGAGCTGGACAGGGGGCGCGTGAAGAAGGTGAAGCGCAAGGGAGATGATGATGCACCCGACCCCATGGCAGGCGTAAACCCCTTCCAGGCCCTTGCTGCCCCGCCTGCTGGTGCTGCTGCCGCTGGGGGTGGTGGTAGAGGTGGGGAGGGAGGGAGGGAGGCGCATGGGAAGAGGCCAGGGAGGTGGATGGGGAGGGACAAGGGCAAGCACGACAGCAACCGGCATGTGGCGAAGCTCAAGGGAAAAAAGGCCAGGCCGAGATGGTAGCTCTTCATTGAGTGCTTGACACATTCGACTGCTTTAAGCCCAGATGATAGTGGTTCATTGTTTCTCTGAGCTGATGTTTTTTTCCCTCTGGTGTACACCGGCTGAGTGTGCATGGCCCGTCCGATTTCTGATGAGAGTTTCAGGCGAATACATTTGCTTCAAGCTGTGTTGTATGGTATGGCACAGAGGAATAAATTACTATTTATTCACCAAATGCGCTGGTACTATTGATTCACCTTGTTCGTTCATTGTTCCAATGCCTGTGCACCAAATGCCGAGTATCTTCTTATCGCGTCTGTCAATGTGCTGGTAACTTCAAAACACACTCCCACTTCCTTGGTTCCTGGCAACGCGAATATTCATGTGCGCGCCACGTGTTCCTCTCAGAGTCCAGCCAGACCACCACCATCATCAGACTAGTGATAATTCGGCGCTGTTTAGTCACGCCGACACACATTGTATGTGCAGCAGAGAGTAGAGGTCGGTAGAGGTCGGTCGAGGTCCGTAGAGGTCGGTCGAGGTCGGTAGAGGTCGACGCCATGGCTGTCGTCGCGACCAGGGGTCTCTGCGCTCCGACCTTGCTCCTCGAGCCACGTGGCATCTCGATAAGCGGTCCAGATTCAGCCAATTGCGCACGCTCGCGCTGTAATGCCCGCCAAAACCATCCGAAATTTCTCGGCATTTCCCGATTACCTGTGCTGCGTGTCAGTCGCGTAACTGTAGCCGCCGCTACAACCTCGCCGTCCCAAGATACCACCGCCCCCGGTCAATCCTTCCCCGACCGCCGCGTGTCCGGCTCCAATTGGTCGCAAAACCGCGGGAGCGCCGCCGGGGGAAGCAGCAGCAGCAGCAGTAGAACCGAAGAGATCAGCAGCGTTGTACGCGATATAAACGATTCGTCACGAGGATACGACTCGTCGCTGGAGTATCTACAGGAGCAGGACTCCTTTTCGCGCTACTCCGGCTATATCGCGCGCGCGGCGGGGCCGGGGGGCGACGAGTGGGCGGAATACGATGCGCGCGCCATGGCGGATTACTTCCGCGCGCGCCCGCTGCTGGTGGCGCGGCGGCTGGCGCAGATCGGCGCGGTGATGGGCGGGTGGGCGGGGAAGCGGTGGGCGGACGCGAAGCTGGGGCGCGCGGAGGAGACCTTCCAGGAGCGCGCAGGGGAGCTGCGCCAGGCGCTCGTGCTGCTGGGGCCGGTGAGGGGAAGAGGGGGATGAGAGGGGGGGGGGTACGTGGTGCTGCGGACCCGGTGAGAGGAGGAGAAGGGGGGTGGGTGGGGTAGGTGAGAGGGTGAGGTGATGCCAATCAGCGGTGGTTCTGGGCTTGGTGAGAAGACTTTTGAGGCGCCTCAAAAGGGCGCGGTGAGAAGGGGTGCGGATGGAAGGCGGTGCCAGGGCGCAGTTGGAGTCATCTTTGAGAATTCTAAAAATGGGCGCACTTCCACTTCCCCGGGGGTGTGCAAGCTAGTGCCTTCACATGCTCACTGCTTATAACTGCTCAATCTCTCTTTCCCTGCTGCGCGTGTGTTGACCTCCCCTGCCCTCACTGCCCCTCACTCCCCTGCCCCCGCGCCCGGCCCTCACCCACTGCGCTCACCCCCCCTGTACTCTCCCCCCTGTACTCTCCCCCCTGTACTCTCCCCCCTGTACTCTCCCCCCTGTACTCTCCCCCCTGTACTCTCCCCCCTGTACTCTCCCCCCTGTACTCACCCCCCTGCCCTCTCCCCCCTGTACTCTCCCCACTGCCCTCACCCGCCTTCCTCACCTCCCCTGCCTCTGCCCGCCAGGCCTTTTGTGAAAATCGCCCAGGCTGTCTCCTCCCGCCCGGTACGTGCCCTTCCCTTGGGATGCCCCTAAGCCCACATGCCCCACATATATGTGAAATCCTCTTCGGAACCATGCCCATGTGCCCATGCCCATGTGCCCATGTCCATGTGCCCATGCCCATGTGCCCATGTCCATGTGCTAGAAACCCATGCTTCCGCATGCTACCATCACCCTTTCCACCCGCCCAACGCCCCTGCTGTTTCCTCCCCTTCATCAGAACGTGATCCCACCAGAGTATGCGGAACGAGCTATCCCTGCTGCAGGACCGCACAGCACCCTTCCCTCCTATGTATCCTCCCTCCGGCCCAACGCCCCCACTACCCCCTTGTTTCTCCCATCAGGACGTGATCCCACCGGAGTACGTGGACGAGCTGTCCCTGCTGCAGGACCGCATAGCGCCCCTTCTTTGACGCGCCTCACAATCACCCTCCCACCCCACCCAACCCACGCCCCACTGCGCAACAAACCCCCTCTCCTTTCAGGACGTGATCCCACCAGAGTACGTGGACGAGCTGTCCCTGCTGCAGGACCGCATAGCGCCCTTCCCCACGCGCACAGCGCTAGACCTTATCGAGGCGGAGCTGGGAGTGCCCGTTGACCTGCTCTTCGACCAGATCTCGCCCTCCCCTGTCGCTGCCGCGTCGCTTGGCCAGGTGGGGACTGGCGAGAGTGGTGAAGTGGTGACTTGGGCAGGTAGGGATTGGGGCAGGTGGTGACCGGGACAGGTGGTAGAGCAGACAGTGATTGGGGCAATCAACAAATCACTGTGATCCTTCTGGCCTCCTCTCTCAGCTCATTCTTCTTCCTCTCAACGGGCCCTTGTTGCTGCTGCTGGCCCTCTGCCCCACCCTTTCACCACTCCTCTCCCGCTGCATCCCCCCTCTCCCCTCCCCGCAGGTGTACGAGGCGAGGTTGAGGGCAGGGGGCCAGCGGGTGGCAGTGAAGGTGCAGCGCCCGGGCGTGAGAGCGGCCATCGCGCTGGACATCTTCATTCTGCGCCTGTTTGCCGGCTGGCTTAGGCAGTACAGACGGCTTAACACTGACCTGCAGGCTGTCGTGGATGAGTGGGCTACCAGCCTCTTCAGGGTACTGGGATGTGGTGGGGTAGGGTGTGTTGCAATGAGGTGAGGTGAGATGTGGTTTGGTGGTGCGATGGGGTGTGAATGATTCGAACTTGTTAGCAAGCAAGCCATGGTGCCTCACTCTGTCCTGTGCCCAAGCTTCGCATTGCTCTGCCCTGCCCTGCTCTGCTTTGCTCTGCTCTGTGCTGTGATGGCAGGAGATGGACTATGAAATGGAGGCGCAAAACGGAATCAAATTCGCGTGAGTCTCACCTCACTCACTTTTGAGAATTCTCAAAAGTGATTTCAACCTCACTCACCCTGTGCTCTCACCCACTCACCCTGTGCTCTCACCCACTCACTCAAATCGCCTACCTCATGTAAGCCATGCCCTCATACCACTCTAAGCGATGGAGGGAATTACAAAGGAGCGTGTTCTCCTTTCTCAGCTTCTCTTCTCGTTACCTTCCCATTCTCTCTCACCCATCCCACCAGCGAGCTATTCGGGCGGATAGACAGGGTGGTGGTGCCGCGCATGTATCCGGAGCTCACCACTCGCCGCGTGCTCATCATGGAGTGGATTGATGTGAGATGTGCTTGTAGCAGATCGATGTGAGATGTGCTTATGTTCCTGTTTCCTATAATGGATTGATGTGAGCTGCTGGTATTGGGTCAACGTGTCATGTGTGTAATAGGCTTATGCAACATGCTTGCACTGGGTCAACGCATTGTGTGGATCGAAATGTTTATGGAAGATTAGCGCAAGCCCTCCCTATCTCACTCCATCCCCTCCTCTCTCTCCCCTCCTCTCTCTCCCCTCCTCTCTCTGCATGGCACACACACAGGGCCAGCGCCTGGCAGACAGCAAGGACGTGAGCCTTGTAGAGGTGAGAGAGGGCGGTGAGGGGGGTGAGAGTGGGTGGTGAGGGGCGAGAGAGGGTGGTGAGGGGCGAGAGTGGGTGGTGGGGGGCGAGAGTGGGTGGTGGGGGGCGAGAGTGGGTGGTGGAGGTGAGTGCACCTTCTGCTGCAAATGGTCCCTGGCATTATCAAGAAGCCGTAACAGTTGCTTTTTTTTTTTTTCCTATGCTTCCCCCATTCTCCCTCAAATGCACTCTTCCAAACACCTCATCTACTTGTCCCTCCTGATTTTCTCTCCCACCCCCTGTCTCTCCCTCCTCCACCCGCTTCCTATCCCCGCGCCCCGGCCTGGTCGCACAGGTGGGTGTGTACTGCTCGCTGTCACAGCTGCTGGACTATGGATTCTACCACGCCGACCCGCACCCCGGCAACTTCCTCCTCACCCGCGACAACCGCCTTGCATACCTGGGTGAGCGTTCCTGGGTGAGCGTTCCTGGGTGGGCTGGCAGCTTGGGTGGGCTGGCACCTTCTGTACCTGGTTACGCTCAAGCAATCTACCATGCGATTTGTGCGAGGCGGTCATGTTCCATGTTCCAGAACCAGGTACAGCACCCACCCACCTTCCAAAACCACCTTCTTGCCTTCCATCCCCCCTACCCCCCTCCCCGCTCCCCCTGCCCCTTCCTTCCCTGATCTCCTTCGGCCAGACTTCGGCATGAGGGAGGCGTGAGGGAGGCGTTCATAGGTCACTCGCTGTGGGATAGGCGTTCTGTCCTAACAACCCCCTCCTACTCTCTCCTCCCCAACCCCCACACCCCCCCCAGACTTCGGTATGATGGGGCGCATGGACCGGGACGTGAGGGAGGCGTTCATCCGAGCAGCGGTGCATCTCGTGAACCGCGAGTTCGACCTGCTGGCGGGGGACTTCATCACTCTCGGGTGAGCTGCATTTTCTCACCGGGGTTTGCCGTGCATTGTTTATTCGACTCAAGGGTCACCTCTTCCGAGCAGCAGTGCATCTCGTGAACCGCGAGTTCGACCTGCTGCAGGGGACTTTGTCACTCTTGGGTGAGCTGGATTGCTTTCTGCTTCTTCACACCCTTTGGCTGACACCGCTGCACAGTCTGCATCTCCCAACCCTCTTTCCTCCCCCACCCAGCCTGCTCCCCTTGGGGCAGGTGAGGAGGAGTGAGGTGTCATACATCCCTCTCCCATGTCCTCTTCCTCTTTTCTTCTCTTCCTCTCTTCCTTTCTGCTCCCCTGCTCTCCCTCCCACCCAGTCTACTCCCACCGGGTCAGGAGATGAGCGAGGTGTCATTTGCCCTCACAGCCATCTTCAAGGACGCTGTCAGCACCGGCATCAGGAACATCAGCTTCGGCAGCCTCGCCACTCAGCTCGGCCAAACCATGTACGCTCGGCCGAAACATGTAGACTTGGTCAAACCATCTCGGCCAAACCATGTAAGCTCGGCCAAACCAAGTATACCTATGTGTTATATGCTGCCCAATGCTGATTGCTGCAAAGCGTCATGTCGTCATCCCCATCTAACCTCTCCCGGTGCACCCTTCCCCCTGTGTCAGGTACAACTTCAAGTTCCGTCTGCCTGCTTATTTCTCCCTCGTTGTCAGAAGGTCAGTCAACTCGTCCCGTCCCTTGCTGTCAGTCAACCCTCCCGCCCGCGTCTGCAATAATTTATAGGCGCCTCAACATTCCCGCCCGCATCTGCAATGCATCTTTGCTGCCACGTGTCCCTGCTGCTGACTAGTATAGTGCATGCTGTTTAATCCCTCGTAGCAGCCCGTGTTGATCATTTCTTGACGAATTAGCTTGAATGCCTTTGTGACGCTTGTTTGCTCTCCTTGCAAGGTGAGGCGACAATTTCTGTGCCCTGGTGTGTGTGTTCATTGTTGCATGTGTGTGTGCGGTGCATGTGTGTGTGGTGCACGTGTGTGTGGTGCACGTGGTGTGGTGCACGTGTGTGTGGAGCACGAGCACGTGTGTGTGGTGCATGTGTGTGTGTGTGGTGCATGTGTGTGTGTGTGGTGCACGTGTGCATGGTGCACGTGTGTATGGTGCATGTGTGTATGGTGCACGTGTGTATGGTGCATGTATGTGCGGTGCACGTGTGTGTGCGGTGCATGTGTGTGTGGTGCATGTGTGTGTGTGGTGCATGTGTGTGTGATGCATGTGTGTGTGTGGTGCATGTGTGTGCGGTGCATGTGTGTGTGGTGCATGTGTGTGTGTGGTGCATGTGTGTGTGATGCATGTGTGTGTGTGGTGCATGTGTGTGCGGTGCATGTGTGTGTGGTGCATGTGTGTGTGGTGCATGTGTGTGTGGTGCATGTGTGTGCGGTGCATGTGTGTGCGGTGCATGTGTGTGCGGTGCATGTGTGTGCGGTGCATGTGTGTGCGGTGCATGTGTGTGTGGTGCATGTGTGTGTGGTGCATGTGTGTGTGGTGCATGTGTGTGCGGTGCATGTGTGTGTGGTGCATGTGTGTGCGGTGCATGTGTGTGCGGTGCATGTGTGTGCGGTGCATGTGTGTGTGGTGCATGTGTGTGCGGTGCATGTGTGTGCGGTGCATGTGTGTGTGGTGCATGTGTGTGCGGTGCATGTGTGTGTGGTGCATGTGTGTGCGGTGCATGTGTGTGTGGTGCATGAGTGAGTGCAGTCTATCAGTGTTGGAAGGGATCGCCTTGAAACGAGATCCTAACTACAAGGTGTGTCACGCCCCTCCAATGCCCTTCTCCGCACGTGGCAGGCACCAGTTCGTGTGCCCCTCACACTATATTCCTTCCGACTCACTGCACACTTTACTGTTATTTGCTTTGCTGCACAACCTACTCCGTTCTCTCCGGATTAAACTCGTTACAAGGCTCTCCATGCCTTTGGAGATGTCTCAACGGCCGCATGAGATGTCTCAACGGCCGCATACAGCACATGTCACTGTGTTCCACTGAGTCCGCCTTCCCCACATAACCCTGCCCCGGCTTCTCTCCCCACATCAGGTGATCGCTAGCTCCTACCCCTGGATTGCCAAGAAGGTCCTCACAGACCCCTCGCCCCAGCTGCACTCCACCGTCACCAACCTGCTATTCAAGGTAACCTTGCTATTTTGGCCAAAGCCGCATTTGAAGACGATTCTAGGTTATTCAACGTCTTGAGAGCCTGCTGAAGGAGGTGCATGGCTTTTTTAATATACTCAGAGCCCGTCTCATCACTCTCTCTCTCTCTCCTAATCCCCCTACTTACCTTCCCCCTCGACGTGTGGCAACAGGACGGGCAGTTCAGAGTGTCTCGGCTGGAGAGTCTGCTCAAAGAGGTGTGTGGGAAGGGGGATGTGCGAGGGGTGAGGGAGAAGGGTGTGGGGGAGTGAGAGGGGTGTGAGAACGGAAGGAGCAACAGGGGTGTGGGAGGGAAAGGATTGCAAGGGATGTGAGAAAGGATTGCAAGGGGTGTGGGAAAGGATTGCAAGGGGTGTGGGAATCGCAACAGGGGAGGCTAGTTTCAGCCTACCATGCAGGTGAAGGGTTAGGTGTCGTGAGGTGATGTGTGTGTCATACATATAATCAGAACAGTGTGTTATTCAAATGCTCCATGGTTTCATCCATCCTAGAAAGTTGTCTGTTATTCAAATCCTCCATGGTTCCTTTCTCTTCGGTGCCCTGTCCTTGTCACACACGTGCCTGGGCTGTGATTGGTGGGCTGCGGGGGTAGATCATCTACGGCTGGTCCCTGCAGTCGTCCAAGCCCATGTACGGCCCAGATTCAGCCGCCAAGAGCCAATCAAAAGACGACACGTCCAAGGAGGGCCGCACGAGAACGCTCAAGAGGATTCTCAAGTTCGGGTTGAGTGAAGAGGTGAGCGGTGGTGGTGAGTGGTGATTGTGAATGGTGAGTGGTGATTGTGAGTGATGATTGAGGGGTTGAGAATGCTCCCATGCACCCGTGCTACCATTTCATGCCATCCGACACATCTCAAGTGCCAATCTACAAATCCTGGCGTCTAACAGCACAACCACACCTGTCTCCTGTGTCCCTGTGGCAGGGCCGGTTCATCCGAGAGCTGTTATTGGACGAAGTGGCCAAGGTACTGCTGCTGTACACACGTTTCTCGTGTCCCGCACCATGTCATCACCGCACCACTTATTGCTGCTTTGCGGAAACATTGTTCAGTTTTGAGGCGCCTCAAAACTTTGCTGAAACATTGTTCCGCGCGCTGCAGCATGCACGCCCATTTCGCTCCACCGTCACAGCCCCACTCCCACTCCCTCCCCTTCTCGCTCTTTTTATTCCCCTTTCGCTCTTTCCTCCTCCACATTCTTTCATATTTCAACCCCCCCCCCATGATTATTCAAATTCCCCCATCCTCCCCTTTCCTCTCTCCCCTCCTATCCCCAACCCCAATCCTTCTTATCGAACCCCTCCCCCACCCACACCACCCTCCCTCCTCAGGGTCTAGACGCACTCAACAGGGTCTAGACGCACTCAACAGGGTCTAGACGCACTCAACAGGGTCTAGACGCACTCAATAGGGTCTAGACGCACTCAACAGGGTCTAGACGCACTCAGCAGGGTCTAGACGCACTCAGCAGGGTCTAGACGCACTCAACAGGGTCTAGACGCACTCAACAGGGTCTAGACGCACTCAACAGGGTCTAGACGCACTCAACAGGGTCTAGACGCACTCAACAGGGTCTAGACGCACTCAACAGGGTCTAGACGCACTCAACAGGGTCTAGACGCACTCAACAGGGTCTAGACGCACTCAACAGGGTCTAGACGCACTCAACAGGGTCTAGACGCACTCAACAGGGTCTAGACGCACTCAGCAGGGTCTAGACGCACTCAGCAGGGTCTAGACGCACTCAACAGGGTCTAGACGCACCCAGCAGGGTCTAGACGCACCCAGCAGGGTCTAGACGCACTCAGCAGGGTCTAGACGCACTCAGCAGGGTCTAGACGCACTCAGCAGGGTCTAGACGCACTCAACAGGGTCTAGACGCACTCAACAGGGTCTAGACGCACTCAACAGGGTCTAGACGCACTCAACAGGGTCTAGACGCACTCAACAGGGTCTAGACGCACTCAACAGGGTCTAGACGCACTCAACAGGGTCTAGACGCACTCAACAGGGTCTAGACGCACTCAACAGGGTCTAGACGCACTCAACAGGGTCTAGACGCACTCAACAGGGTCTAGACGCACTCAACAGGGTCTAGACGCACTCAACAGGGTCTAGACGCACTCAACAGGGTCTAGACGCACTCAACAGGGTCTAGACGCACTCAACAGGGTCTAGACGCACTCAACAGGGTCTAGACGCACTCAACAGGGTCTAGACGCACTCAACAGGGTCTAGACGCACTCAACAGGGTCTAGACGCACTCAACAGGGTCTAGACGCACTCAACAGGGTCTAGACGCACTCAACAGGGTCTAGACGCACTCAACAGGGTCTAGACGCACTCAACAGGGTCTAGACGCACTCAACAGGGTCTAGACGCACTCAACAGGGTCTAGACGCACTCAGCAGGGTCTAGACGCACTCAGCAGGGTCTAGACGCACTCAGCAGGGTCTAGACGCACTCAGCAGGGTCTAGACGCACTCAGCAGGGTCTAGACGCACTCAGCAGGGTCTAGACGCACTCAGCAGGGTCTAGACGCACTCAGCAGGGTCTAGACGCACTCAGCAGGGTCTAGACGCACTCAGCAGGGTCTAGACGCACTCAGCAGGGTCTAGACGCACTCAGCAGGGTCTAGACGCACTCAGCAGGGTCTAGACGCACTCAGCAGGGTCTAGACGCACTCAGCAGGGTCTAGACGCACTCAGCAGGGTCTAGACGCACTCAGCAGGGTCTAGACGCACTCAGCAGGGTCTAGACGCACTCAGCAGGGTCTAGACGCACTCAACAGGGTCTAGACGCACTCAGCAGGGTCTAGACGCACTCAACAGGGTCTAGACGCACTCAACAGGGTCTAGACGCACTCAACAGGGTCTAGACGCACTCAACAGGGTCTAGACGCACTCAACAGGGTCTAGACGCACTCAACAGGGTCTAGACGCACTCAACAGGGTCTAGACGCACTCAACAGGGTCTAGACGCACTCAACAGGGTCTAGACGCACTCAACAGGGTCTAGACGCACTCAACAGGGTCTAGACGCACTCAACAGGGTCTAGACGCACTCAACAGGGTCTAGACGCACTCAACAGGGTCTAGACGCACTCAACAGGGTCTAGACGCACTCAACAGGGTCTAGACGCACTCAACAGGGTCTAGACGCACTCAACAGGGTCTAGACGCACTCAACAGGGTCTAGACGCACTCAACAGGGTCTAGACGCACTCAACAGGGTCTAGACGCACTCAACAGGGTCTAGACGCACTCAACAGGGTCTAGACGCACTCAACAGGGTCTAGACGCACTCAACAGGGTCTAGACGCACTCAACAGGGTCTAGACGCACTCAACAGGGTCTAGACGCACTCAACAGGGTCTAGACGCACTCAACAGGGTCTAGACGCACTCAACAGGGTCTAGACGCACTCAACAGGGTCTAGACGCACTCAACAGGGTCTAGACGCACTCAACAGGGTCTAGACGCACTCAACAGGGTCTAGACGCACTCAACAGGGTCTAGACGCACTCAACAGGGTCTAGACGCACTCAACAGGGTCTAGACGCACTCAACAGGGTCTAGACGCACTCGGCAGGGTCTAGACGCACTCAACAGGGTCTAGACGCACTCAACAGGGTCTAGACGCACTCAACAGGGTCTAGACGCACTCAGCAGGGTCTAGACGCACTCAGCAGGGTCTAGACGCACTCAGCAGGGTCTAGACGCACTCAACAGGGTCTAGACGCACTCAACAGGGTCTAGACGCACTCAACAGGGTCTAGACGCACTCAACAGGGTCTAGACGCACTCAACAGGGTCTAGACGCACTCAACAGGGTCTAGACGCACTCAACAGGGTCTAGACGCACTCAACAGGGTCTAGACGCACTCAACAGGGTCTAGACGCACTCAACAGGGTCTAGACGCACTCAACAGGGTCTAGACGCACTCAACAGGGTCTAGACGCACTCGGCAGGGTCTAGACGCACTCGGCAGGGTCTAGACGCACTCAACAGGGTCTAGACGCACTCAACAGGGTCTAGACGCACTCAACAGGGTCTAGACGCACTCAGCAGGGTCTAGACGCACTCAACAGGGTCTAGACGCACTCAACAGGGTCTAGACGCACTCAACAGGGTCTAGACGCACTCAACAGGGTCTAGACGCACTCAACAGGGTCTAGACGCACTCAACAGGGTCTAGACGCACTCAACAGGGTCTAGACGCACTCAACAGGGTCTAGACGCACTCAACAGGGTCTAGACGCACTCAACAGGGTCTAGACGCACTCAACAGGGTCTAGACGCACTCAACAGGGTCTAGACGCACTCAACAGGGTCTAGACGCACTCAACAGGGTCTAGACGCACTCAACAGGGTCTAGACGCACTCAACAGGGTCTAGACGCACTCAACAGGGTCTAGACGCACTCAACAGGGTCTAGACGCACTCAACAGGGTCTAGACGCACTCAACAGGGTCTAGACGCACTCAACAGGGTCTAGACGCACTCAACAGGGTCTAGACGCACTCAGCAGGGTCTAGACGCACTCAGCAGGGTCTAGACGCACTCAGCAGGGTCTAGACGCACTCAGCAGGGTCTAGACGCACTCAGCAGGGTCTAGACGCACTCAGCAGGGTCTAGACGCACTCAGCAGGGTCTAGACGCACTCAGCAGGGTCCAGACGCACTCAGCAGGGTCTAGACGCACTCAACAGGGTCTAGACGCACTCAACAGGGTCTAGACGCACTCAACAGGGTCTAGACGCACTCAACAGGGTCTAGACGCACTCAACAGGGTCTAGACGCACTCAACAGGGTCTAGACGCACTCAACAGGGTCTAGACGCACTCAACAGGGTCTAGACGCACTCAACAGGGTCTAGACGCACTCAACAGGGTCTAGACGCACTCAACAGGGTCTAGACGCACTCAACAGGGTCTAGACGCACTCAACAGGGTCTAGACGCACTCAACAGGGTCTAGACGCACTCAACAGGGTCTAGACGCACTCAACAGGGTCTAGACGCACTCAACAGGGTCTAGACGCACTCAACAGGGTCTAGACGCACTCAACAGGGTCTAGACGCACTCAACAGGGTCTAGACGCACTCAACAGGGTCTAGACGCACTCAACAGGGTCTAGACGCACTCAACAGGGTCTAGACGCACTCAACAGGGTCTAGACGCACTCAACAGGGTCTAGACGCACTCAACAGGGTCTAGACGCACTCAAGGGTCTAGACGCACTCAGCAGGGT